CACGGCCGTGAACTGACCATGAACCCTGTTTAAAAGGAGAGCTGAAAGGAAGATAGAAGGGAGAGCTCTAAGAGTGAGAAAGTCTTCTTCTTCTTCTTCTTCTTCTTCAGATTTTAGAGAGAGAAAGACGAACCAAAGGATAACGAGTCTAGGGTTTTTCTCCAAAAGTGGATTTTGGAAGATTCTCCCCAAGAGAAGTTCATCACAAGTGCAAAGAAGATTGGAAGCCTGTCTATGATGGTTTCTACCTCTTCCCCTTCTATTTCTCCCATTTCTAGCATGGAGTAGATTTCTTTTTCACTTGGGTGTTGTGAAACCCTAACTATCTACCATGTCGTTTTTGTTATGTGAATTGTATGATTGTTTATGGGTGTTGTTTAATTCAATGATTGAGGTATTATTCATGTTGATTGTGCATGTTTGTGCTTAGCAATCTAATTGGCCAATTTAACCTAGACTAGAGAGGGAAAACCCCCTTTCAAGAGAAGCTCAATTGAGTTGGTATTCCTAGGTCTTTTTTAAGTCACCAATCTAGGTTAATTTAAGGAAAACCTCGATGTTGGATTAAGCAATTTTGTTAAGCGCGATTAAGCCGACCAACCATTGGGTTGAGTGAGGGAGTAAGTCAACCATCGATTGCCCAAACCGAGAGGGCCGAGTGACAGCTTATAATGTATCCCTTGATTTGTCAATCGAGAGTGTGTTCTATGACCATATTTGCGTCCCCTAGCGGTTCGCAGTCACCTTGTCCATAACAATCGTTTCGATTCACATACCATGGTAGTTAGGGGGAAGCGACACCCGAGTGATCCTTCTCACAAAGAGCTTTCAAAACCATTTACTTTTACCTTGCTTTACTTTAATTAGCAAAATTTTCAACCAAAACCGAGTCGCTAGATAATGATTCAAATGACCGAAGTAGGGGTACACGGACCGGCCCGAGTCGATATTTAAACATACTTGCCCTGTACTACACCCGACTAAGGTTTATACTTGGACCTTAGCAGGAATTAATTGTGGTATTCGGGACGAGTCAAGTTTTTGGTGCCGTTGTCGGGGACCAACGGTCTGTTATCTTGAAAAAGTTGTTTGGTGTTAATCTAGCTTTTAATTTCCAGTTTTGAAAGTGTGTGTGCTTTGCTTGTGCTTGACTTGGTGTTGTTTTCTTATTTTGTGTAGGTGGTGTATGACCCGGAGTTATCTGGCACCTTTGCTACCACTTGACGAGGACATAAATCGAACTTCTGGCTCCTAAAACGGGAGAGAGAGCTACCGAAGGCAAGGAGAAGGAGTGAAGGAAGGGGACAACAATTGGGTCTCGGTGCTAGTGAACAAGAAGTTGAAGAAGTGGAAGTTGAACCCGTCGTTGGAGTAGAAATGGCAGGGAACCAAAGACAAGATGGAGCCTCCCAAGCTCGTACCTTAACGATGCGGCACAGTAAGAGGAAGCCCCAAGGACAATGGGGTACTATATGGCCCCACGGCCAACAGACATTCAATCGCCAATCCTACACCCTCCCGTGGCAGCAAACAATTTCGAGATCAAGCCGACTCTAGTGACTATGATACAGAACAATGCTTTGTTCCACGGACTTCCGAGCGAGTCACCAAGAGAGCATGTACAGAGATTCCTGGAGCTCGCGGGGAGCTTGAAAATCAATGGCATGCCGGCTGAAGCTTTGCAACTGAGGCTTTTCCCCTATTCACTTGCGGGGAAAGCAATCAGGTGGCTAAACAACCGCCCACCTCATTCAATCACCTCATGGGACGATCTTCTCAACAAATTCATGACCCGCTACTGCCCGCCTTTGAAGACGGCCGAGTGGAGAAAGAAGATCACCCATTTCGAGCAAGAGGAAGACGAGACTTTGAGGGATGCTTGGGAGAGATTCTCCGATTACTTTCTTCAATGCCCTCACCATGGGTTCGAGGAGCAATTTCGGATTGAAACTTTCTACGGTGGTCTAATCCAAGAAGACAAGATTCTCATTGACTCGCTGTGTTAAGGGAAATTGATGAATATGACTCCACCGCAAGTGATCGAATTGCTCAAGGACATGGCCCTCAAGGGGTACGATTGAGGTTTGACGAGGTACGGGAGAAGAAGTAATGATAGGGGAGTGAGAAGCTTGGCAGTGAGCACTCCACTTTAGGCGAAGTTGGATAAGTTGATAAAGGTAATTCTTGAAGATAAAAAGCAAGGAAAGAGGTCGGTGATGTCTTTTGATTGGTGTTCGAGCACTAACCATGAGATGGCGGAGTGCCAAGCAATGAAGGAGGAAACCATTCCAGAGGAGCAAGTCAATTTCGTGGTAAATGCTAGGGCCAATAACTCGTATAGAAATACTTATAATCCCGGATGGAGAAACCACCCCAACTTTGCTTGGTCATCACAGACTAATCCGAGGACCCCGAGTTTTCAAGGCCCTGCGGGAAATTATCAACCTCGCCCAACCTTCATCCAACAAAGGCCTCAAGTCCAAAGCTCGCACTTCCAACAACCGTACTAAGCACAAGGTGTCCTAGGGTTTCAACAACAACAACAACCCGACAAGCTATCTAAGCTTGAGGACCTAGTGAACACCTTTGTTAGCACGAGTGCTCAAAAGTTCGAGAAGATTGAGCAATTCATGGATGTGGCGACTACCAAATTTGCCTCGGTTTAGGCGGGACTCCGAAGCCGTCAAGCGAGCCTCCAAAGCTTGGAAGTGAAAATCGACAATCTTGTCGGGATCCTCACCGAGAGACCTAAAGGCGCTCTACCTTCCCAAACCATGGCGAACCCCAAGGATCATGCCGCGGTGAATGCAATTCAAGTGGGAAGTGGAAAGGTGACTCCGGGCTTCGCCACTAAAGAAGTGATTGAGAAGGAAGGTTCCAACCCGAAGGATGGAGAGAAGAAGCCCTCAAGGAGAGAGAGAAAGGCGGTAAGGAAGGCATCGCCGACACCACCCTTGGTGGTTGAGTACATGCCGCCTCTTCCTTTCCCTACGAGGATGTACAAGGAGAGGTTGGAGAACGAGTGTGGAGGTTTTATGGAAATGCTCCACACCCTCCACCTCAATATCCCTTTACTTGAAGCCATGTCCCAAATGCCAAGATATGCCAAGTACCTCAAAGGATTCCTCACCAAGAAGCCAAAGCTTGAAGGCCTCGCAACGTGACTCTTGGCGAGGAGTGTTTGGCTTTCCTCTAGGGGTGGGCAACGGGACGGGACGGGTACCCAATCCCATTTAAAGAGCAATCTCCATCCCATTCCCAAACCCGTACGGGTTAACGGATACCCATTACCCGTACGGGACGGATAAAGGGTACCCATACTACCAGTAAATACCCGTCAAATTGGTGGAAGAACTACAAAAGTTTTAACACACAATTAAACAAACCCACCTAAAATGAGAAGCTACCACCATCACTATCATGAACACACAATTACACAATTAAGGAGAGTTAAAAGGCTAATATGAGAAACCTACAAACAATTACACAATAAAACAATAAAACAAACCTACAAAACCACATAATCTGAACACTAAAGTCTAAAAGGGTGAAAGAGAAGCCGCCAAAACAGCAACAAATTCTTTAGTTCTTTGGTTCCAAAACAGGAGCAGCACCTTCTTTGTTCTTTGACTCCAAAATTCCAGTCGAATCCCTTCTTTGCACTAATGAGTTTTGGGATTTTTGGACTAACGGGTACCCGTAATACCCTAACGGGTATTAACGGGTAACCCGCGGGTACCCAAAGTAGCGATTGTTGATCCCAAATCCCTTCCCGTTAAAAAAATACGGGTATTTGGGTATCCTTAACCCTTAAAAACGAGACGGGTACGGGTATACCCAAATACCCGTTTCCCGTTGCCCACCCCTACTTTCCTCCTCAACCGCTTGCCCGAAAAGCGGTCCGACCCAGGTAGCTTTACTATCCCTCTTGATATTGGTAACCATCATATAGACAGTGCCTTGGTGGACCTAGGAGCTAGTGTTAATGTGATGCCCTACAAGCTTTTCAAAAAGTTAGAAGTAGGTGAACTTAAGACCACTAAGCTTAGCATCACCTTAGCCGACCATTCGGTCATTAGCTCGAGAGGTATTGTGGAGGACATGTTGGTACGAGTGGGGAAGTTTTGCTATCCTAATGATTTTGTGATTCTTGACATAAGTGAGGACTCGGATATGCCACTCATTCTTGGTAGTCCCTTCCTCGCCACCGCCAAGGCATTGATAGACGTTAATGAGGGGACCTTAACTCTGAGGGATGGTAAGGAGAGAATCAAGCTTGAAATTGATCCTAAGGCTAGGAGTGAGGAAGTTAAGGAATTGGTTTCAAATGATGTGAATGTGAGTGGAGGAGAGCCTCTCAAGGCAAACCCCACTATTACTTGTGTTTCTTGTGGTAATGTTGAGTAGGAAGTCAAGGAAGCTTTGGCCCGGAGGAAGGAGAAGGCCAAAGCAAAGTTGGCCAACCAAGAGGGCCAACTCATGGAGCCTAAGATGGGAGGCTACAAGCCTCGCCCCGAGAGTGTGGTGGATCCACTCTCGGTGGCATCACGTTCCAAGACGTGATTGATCCCCAACCGTCAAACTAATGACGATAACTTAGCGCTTGTTGGGAGGGAACCCAACGGGGGTTTGTTTTCTTTTCCTTATTTTTTTGTTTTGGTGTCTAGTGAAGAGTTCAAGTGGTCAAGTGGTGTCCCCGTGCCAAGTTTTGTGGTTTTGCGATTTAAGGTTGTGTTGTGATTGATTAGGAGGCACGGTGGAATAGGTTGAGTCAAATTTTGCTAAGAAATGCATTGTTTTCACTGATGCTCACAGACGGATTGTTGAGTTCATGGTCTTACAAGACCGTGAAAAAGCAAACGCATCAGTGAACTGGGCGCTTCTACATGTTCACCACCTGTCGACCAACCCCAGTTCATGGACGCATTCGAGTGGCAAAGCGTCCGTGAACTCCATGCTGTAACTATAAAAGGGGCGTGAACGATGACTCTTCACTTCACGACCCAAATCTCACCGGCAAATTCGAATTCCAAAGATGTTGCAATTTTCCCCCCATTTTCGGCGAGCAAAACCCAAAACCAACATCATACCCATTCTCCCCTCATCAAAACCGTCATATGCTGCAATTTTGGGTAGATTTGGGGCAAGTTTTCTCCGGTCAAGTCACTGGCGACGAGTCTCTGACGAGCTTCCGACGAAGCTCCGACGACCCCTCTCCGGTCTGCTTTTCGGCCATTTTTCGCCTTCCTCTCCCGCACCTCACTTCCTCCTACGTCCTACTTGCGTCTCCAGGTTTGTTTTTCAGCTCCACCTTATTAATTTGTGGAGAATCCGATTAGGTAGTGAAGTGATGATGATTTTTGTGCTTTGCATGTTGACCTAGATTTAGGGCGAGGAATTAGGTGAACTTGGTCGATTGAATGGTGAAATGATTTTGCATGAGCTTAGTTGAGCCTTGGTGGGCGTGTTTGAATCAAATTGTCTTTTATTTTCAGAATTTGCCCACCAAGTGTTGTTTTGTGAATGCATGATAACCTTTATGCTTGTTTGGTGGATGGTAGCCACCGTGGTTTGGGTTGTGGTTCAAACTTTCGTATGAATGAACCATGAAATACCCACAATCATGCCACACTGTGCTTAAGATTAAATGTTTGATATCCGTGGTGGGAATATAAGTGTGGGGGAATCTCTTTTCCTCCCAATGGGCATTTTTTATGATTGTTTCCACGTATGGTGTATGGTTGTCAATTTTTGCAGGATGGTTAACGTGGAGCACGAGTACATCCGCTACCTAGTGCATCACGCGGATTTTGGTGACTAGTTCGCCAACCAGAGGGATAGCCCGATTGGGCCTCATTCGCGGCTGGACCTGGACATGTTCAATCTGTTCAGGTGTCGAGCCGTGATGTCCGGGGTGCTTTGTCACCCCCAGTGGCGCCAACTTCTGACGGTGGACTAGCATACCTACCATGAGATCTGCGTGGAGTTCTACTCAAATTTCTCCCATGTCGTCCCGGCCAGCAAGAAGAGCCGACCGCGCATGGAGTTCATGCTGGGAGGTCAGCCACGAGTGCTGACCTACGACGCCTTTGCTCAGGCCATGCGACTCGACACCACCCACATAACGATGACGGAGCGGCAGTACACAGTGGACTTCAACTATCAGAGAGCATTCCGAGCCCTCTGCCGCCCCGAGCATGAGCACAGCAATTTTGAGGGGAGCTGCACCAATGTGGTGAAGCTGAGGTCCCCTTGGAGGATCCTTCACACTTTGGTCACCCGCTCACTCGTCCACAGCCTCGAGTCCGACCATATGATGACGAACAGAGGGCTAATTGCACTCTACTTCATGTGAAATCCAACGGAGCCGATCCATCTCTGATCTCTGATCACCACTTCTTTTGCCCGTTGTTTGGGGCAAAACAGAGTGGACACCATGCACATGGGGGCCTCATTACGAGGATAGCCCGACACTTACATGTGGATCTGGCTCGATGCACCAGCGTCGGGAGGATGGTTCCCTTCCCAGTGAAGACACTTTACAACTAGAAGCTGGTACTCCAGGGAGAACGATGAGTGGAGTACCTCGAGGGACTCCAACAATAAGGAGTCATCAGAGCATTAGTTGACCCGGCTCCAGTTGAGCCTGACCCCGAGGTCCCACCACCAGCAGACAACCACCTGCTCGAGCACCCGGCCGCCGCCGGCGTCCCACGCTCCAACGCCCAGCCCAACCAAGCCAGCACCAGCAGAAGGTGATCTCCTAGTCCAGAGGGTGGATCTCCTAGAGACGAGCTTCGTGGAAGTCACTTCCAGATGAGAGGGAGGGTCCATCCACCCGCAAGAGGTAGCCGACGAGTGAGACATGTGGCAGAGCCGATTTATTTTGCCCCACTTCTCCACTTGTAACCCTGAACTTGTTGTTTTTGTTATTTTTCTTTCTTTTGTGTGTGTGTGACCATAAACTACTACTGCTATTGTGTTTGTAATAACCTCGCATCAAGCGAGTCATATTGTGTTTGTGTGTGTGTTTTTGTCTCCCCCTGAAGCTTAAAATATCCTACCCCCAAAGCGATTCCAACTTTCACTCAGCAAGCCCAAGCGGTAACATCATTCTACCCCTTTCTTACGCCATTGAGGGCAATGTCAAGCTTAAGTGTGTGTGTGGGGGGGGGGGGGAGGGTAGTTTACTATTATGCTTGTGTGAGTGTGATTGATGATTGGAGCCTTATGTATGCCCAAATTTCAAAAATTTGAGAGCTCCAAGCAATGTTTGCATGATCAAAGTTTCTGGTGTGTGGGAAAATCTCGTGTTTATTAGCATTTATCTTGAATTGTTGCATGTGATCGAGTATATCCTATGATGATGATGACTTAGATAACCTAATTCGTCTCTTTTGGGTGGCCTCTCCCGCTTTGGAGCGTGGAAACGCGGACTGCAATCGAATCGCCCAAAATCCGTGAATCTATTTATGCTAGAGCGCGAATCCACAATCAACGGAGCGTGAATTCCCTTAAGCTCAATGTTTATCCCTCCCAATGCTGAATCCACCGACTTTCCACCTTGTTGTTTGTGTTATTTATCGTTGTCGATTGTGGTGGGGATTCGGCGGAGGGGGTGGTGGTGAAGCTGGGCGGCGGAGGCGGAGAAAGCCGGCGACCTAGCGGCGGAGGCGAAGAGAGTCGGGGACCTAGCGGCAGGTCTCGGAGTTCGGGGACCTAGCGGAGGTTCTCAGATAAAGCCTTGCCTTTTCACCAACGAGACCTCTCTTGACCCTGCCATTGATTAAGATTTGAAAGTCGGAAACCCCTGATTTTCAACTTTTGAACGAGAAGGGAAAAGGATCGGAGGTGCTCTGTTAGCCATTTATGTTTTATATTAAAAGGGAAGAGACACTCTGAGACAGAAGGGCGAAGGAACGAAGTAGTGAGCCCGAAGGGCGAAGGACCGGAAAAATAAATAAAAAATATAGGAAAAGAGAGTGGAAAATTTATAATTAAATAAATGTTTATTAAGTTTAGAGTGATTGGTGCACGTCCCATCACTTGAACTCTGTTCTATGTTGGATTAATTAGTTTCGATTAAATTTATATAACCTAATTAGCCACTAGTTTTATATAATTTTGGATTATTATCAAGTCTCCTATATAAATAATAATATAATAATGACGCTTTCTTCACGCTCTCAATATCGAATTTTTCTAAAATAGACGCTCTCACGCTCTCGCTCCCGCTCCACGAACTGGTTACCTAAATGATGACTGAGAAGTCCATTAGGATAGTGAAAAAGTCTAGTTCTCATGTGTGCATAAATGAATGGATGTCTTGACTCGATTACTTGTTGACTACAATTTGCCATGCATTGTGTTTTGTGAATTGGAATAGATGGTTGGGTGACTAGGTTGCCTTGTGAGCTTTGAGCCGATGGTTTTCTTCTTGTGTGCTTAGATCGCTCTTACCATGGCGAGTAACATCACTGTTGTCACTAGTGAGTATGATGGAGGCATAGGATTAGTCCACACCCAAATGTTGATTGTCCATAAATGCGTTATCAACTAGTCAACCCCTTTGAGCCTTGTGACTTCGAGGGTCGTTCTTAAGTTAGGAGTTTCATTCTTGTGAGCTTAATGGTGTTGATAGAACGGTGTAGACACCACATTTTGTCCGGGACAAACACTCTATGTAAAATAAAAATATAACAACAAATGAAAGTGGAAACTTGTGATGAATTGGTTGAGACTAGCAGTGACAAGTCAATAACTAATCAATATTACCAACCTAGTCGATTCTAGGATTGGTTAAGATATAATCGATTTAATAAGATTAGCAGTGGCAAATCTTAAACATTAATTATAAAAAAACAATAGAGGTGCAAAGCTTGAGGTTCGAACATGGCGTGATAGATGAAATGGAGGCAAAAGCTTTATAGTTAAATTTGACACATGGTACAAAGTATGAACTGAAACTAATTACAATGACTGCCTGTTACTACTAACAACAAAAAGTTTGAAGTTTGAACACCATTTCAAACTGGGCCGACTCATCAATTGAAGTCATTGGGCTCCTTTTCTTCTCCTCTCTTTGAGCCCAAACCAGATCACATACCTGCAAAATGAAAAAGAAAGCGATCATGATACAACCCAAAACAGAGCCCAATTCGGCCCAAAACAGAGCCCAATTCGGCCCAAAACAGAACCCAGGTTCAGGACTAGACCAAGCCCTGGTACCGGCCCAAACGAATTCAAGGCCCAACTCGGCCCAATCTTATCCAAGCAGTTAGTCAGCACCTTTGTAGGTGGAGGCCTCAGAAGCAGCCTTGGGAACCAACCAATCAGAGAGAAGCATGTCATGCTCATCATCAATCATAGACTAAGCAAGGTGGAGGCCTCAGAAGCAGCCTTGAGAACCAACCAATCAAAGAGAAGCACGTCATGCTCATCATCAATCACAGCATGACACGTGGCATGCAATTCTTGCTATAAATGAGCTCTTTGGGCTCTGTGTTGAGGGGAGGACAGATTGGAAGAAGAAAGACAGAGAAATAGAAACATACACAATACAAAGGGATCGTTTTTTTGTTCTTGTCCTTTGGCCGAAGTTCGTGGGGAAACTGTGAAATTGAAGGAGCAGATTTGAAGATCGTTGTAGGGAAAGGCCATTCTTAGGCCTTGATCCAGGTTGGTACTTGTATCAACTTCATTTTGTCAAATTATACAGTCGTTATGACGTTATACAATCATCCATCTATTTGCATATTTATACTCTTTGAGTATTTTCCAATACAAGCTATGTGATGGTCAAATATTATTTACTCAGATCTGCTCTTATCAATTTCATTAAGCTCTATCATCAAAGTTTCTTTTCCTTCCCATATTAATAGTTTTGGCTGTGCGATTACTATTATGCCGATTAACTTAACTATGACTAGAGTTGGATGTTTTGGTTTAAACTCTTTTTGCCATGTTTAGATTTCCCGCATTAGTAGCCGTACATACACATACATATATATATATTAAAGTAAAACTAGATATAGCACATTTTTTTTTACAATCAAAACAAACTTTTTAAGAGGTCCTTGGATGAACCTGGATCCAAATCCAACAAAAATCAATCAAGCACCATAAGTTTTAGAGTTTAAAACCCATACCAATTTCGACAAAATCATAAGCAGTAGCAATGATTTATAGCACTCAGTAAAGCAAAATCACGGGCAGAGGCAGCGATTTATAATCACCAAAATTATCAATTTTAGGGCCGTTTAATTACTTAAACCATTACAAAAACTTCTTTTTCGTTTTAGCAAATTCCAACATATCAAGATTTGCATCTAAATTCATCCACCAAACACCAAAATTATCGAACTCATACATAACCATTTTTAGTGAAAACCCAAAACTTCAATCAGATTCAACCCATTTTTTTGTTCAAGTTCCAAAATCTTACTAAGTCAGGTTTAGCAAATCTTACCCAGATCTGTAAATCTCCACACCTGCACCAAAATAAATCAACAGTTAGAAATTGGAATCGATTAAGCAGGCATCAAACGAAATTAAAAAGGAGCCACCACTGCTCACCTACTCCCCCTGTCGCCGGCGTTTCTCAACGACGGCGAATACCCTTCTCCTTCGGTCAACCTTTTTTTTCTTCTCCCTCGTCCGAGACCAAATCCCAATAAAAAATAAAAAATAAATAAATATCAGAACCTCAAATCAACAATAAAAAAACACGAATAGCAAAAAAAGAACCTACCTAAGCCAACATCGCCGTCGCCCCGACGCAGGCCGCGCCGCCGACAACCTTCCCCTCCTTATCAAAAATCCGAAATCAAAAAGAGGTTAGAATCGCATTAAATCCCAAATAAAATCACCTAAACCGAAAGAAAAAGGCTTTGCATGTCGAGAATCTTACCTGGATTCGTCTATTTCCGATCGACCTAGGAAGACTATAGTCGTCTTTTTGCCTGAATCGAAAGAGGAGCCCTTCGTCATCTTCTGTCGTTCGCCCTTCCCCTCCACCAAAAACCAAAAATAAAACGAAATCCATGATCAGAAGCCATAAAACGAAAATGAAACCGGCAAATAACCCAAATCGACATGCAAACAAAGAAAACGAACCTTTAATCCCGCCTTTGTCGTCGCCCGGGCTCCCCTTCCTCGTTTTCTTTGTCGGTACCAGAAATACAGAGAGAGAGCGAGAGAAGGAAGAAGGAGAGGGCGGCGGTGATAGATGGTGGTTAGGGTTTCGGTTTTCTCTATGGGTGAGAGAGAGGCGGCTGGTTCATTCGGCTAGGGTTTCGTTTTTTTAGAGTGGAGAGGAGGAAGCGAGAGGAAGAAGAAGATGAGAGAGTGGCAAGGGTTAGAGCGGCGGCCAAAATGGTGATTAGGGTTCGTTTTTTGCTTATATACTTTTCCAATAGACTAAAATGCCCCTAGGGTTTATTGTTAATTACGCGGCCGTGCCACCGTCCTTTTGTGAGCTTACCAAATTGCCCTTCCCCCTTCTCTGCTCTAAAACGAGATAAACAAAAAATTTGTAGTTAGCGCGTTTCGAACCCTTGTTCCCTCGGTCAAATGCGAATTTGGTCTAGCGTTTTAGCCAGTTGGGCTGCTGGCCCTCATGCGTCAATATTATAATCCCGTATAGTTTTATTCATTTAAAATCATTAATACAAAATGTAGAATTGCGGATTAAGTATATCTCGTTTCTTTTCTAATACATCAAAACTCCTCTTAATAATTGAAATTATTACATTATCTTTTTATAATTTCATAATACCAACCTAAATTTTACTAACAATAAATTTTGATACGAGAACCACGAGCAGTTGAATGTGGTAATAATATTATTTAAAATTATCAAAGTCTAGCGAACTACGTGGACTTTGATCCCGTCTTACGGGTACGTAGGCAACCGATAAGGTTCGAGTCCAATTAATCAACTAACTTTATCTTTAAATTTTTACGTCAGTGGGCGTATAATTAAATTACAACTAATATGATTAAATCATTAAATGGTCCAGTGGGACCCCTAAAATTACAAATTATTACTAAAATACACCCAACTCGTATAAAACTTATCGACTTAAGTAGTACCGATTTAGGGCGTTGTGGGGGTGTTGCTTAACTTCCCTACACGTAACCGTACTCCCGAACCCAGAACTTCATTTTCGCAGACCATATCTCGGTTCTGACCCTAAGGTTAGAGCCGATCCTAAGAGTGTTCGATCCACTCCAACTAAGATCGATGGCGACTCCCAAAAATGCCGATGCGACGACATTCGGACCCCCGGACGGGACGGTTGCGACAGTTGGCGACTCCGCTGGGGAATTCGAGAGTCGAGCTACATAATTAAGTTCGATAAGTTTTCTATTTTCCTATTAAATGTTGGGTGTTTACTTTCTTATTTGCGCAATTATATTTTCGCAATTTAATTTTGCATTCATGCATAAAAGCTCTATACCCGAGCTATCCTTTTAGAAAATTGAAAGGAGTACCGTGACATCCACAGTAGTGGTAGTCATGCAAAACTTTCTAACCAAGTTGAACTCGGATCCGAGGTTGATCTTGAGGTATCCAGCCAGTTCGTAAGGGCTGTGGCAGGATACAACTTGGGAGCCAAATCCCTAGGAATCCCTCTGCCAGCATATAGTAAGCATAGAGGCCTCCCTAAACCGTCCAAAATAATCCTGAGACAACCCTAGCACCACGTCATTATGCCCGCTGAAAGCCCTAGGTTTTCCCAAATAGGGTTATATTTTTATTATCTATATATGTGTGTTTTCTAACGCGATAACTTATGGTATGTTCTCCCAAGTGCAATATATTTATTTGTGAGAACAATGTGAATTCTCTTTTCTTCTTTGAAAAAATAAACTCATAAGCATCATTCTCTTTTTGTGTTTTCATTTATGCATTTAAAATAAATTTTGAAAACATTTTCAAAATGCACGTGCATCTGTGCATCGCATAAGCATCATACATACTCTCCATGGTTCTTTCAAGTCAATTTAATAAAAGTA